CCCCAAAACCCCAAAACCCCAAAACCCCAAAACCCCTTTTTGCAGATAAGAATTTGAACCTAAAGTTTAAATCGAAATATGGACCTTATGACGGATTTATATTATGGTCCTTAGATATGGGAGGAATGATCCCATACGTTTGAGGGCTAGGTCGTATAGCCTCTGGTTTTTGGCAAAGATGCATCCTCTAATAGGATCGATTTCGTTTGTGTAGAGGAATCTTTCTTCATAACAGTCAGAGGTAATTCCGATCCTACCACGAATTAATGCCTCAGGACCGCACATATCCCATCCGGATTGTCCATAGCCTGGGAATACCCACATCTCGTTGATGTCATCAAGTACTCTGAGGACTCTTTTTCCAGCTCCTCCGTCTTCAACGTACTTGCATGGCTTGAGATACTCAAGGCATTCCTCATTTTGAGCATTTTCTCTGTGCCAACAGACATTTACGTTCAAGACATGGTTATCTTCGTCAATGATGTCATCGTCAGTTGAGAAGGGAGCCATATAGTTAAACTCCCTCTCTTCAATTTGTCTCTCATCCCAAGTCCTATCAAAGTTGCACTTGTAGATTCCGAATTCAAGAGATCCAAAGAAGGTCTCACCAAGTGTTCCGGCCCTCTCAACATAAGGACGGTGAACAAGTCCCATAATTGGAATCTTTTTGTAGACAACTCCAATCATGCAAGTAACATTCTCGAGACGTCCAGCACACAATTCTCTTGTACCATCAATAGGGTCGATCCAGACAGAGAGGTCCTCTGCTTTGAAGTTGAATGGATCCTCCAAGACTTCATCCTTAAATTCACCTATATCCAACGTCAGAAGATCCATTTTATTACTAAGTTTAAAAATATAAATCTGGAGTAACCACGGGAGTTCCTTGGTGAAGAGCTGAGTCTTTTACGGGAAGAAAAGACTTTCAAAGGCATAAAAGTTTTGGAAAAGAGGTAATACCCCCAGAATTAGGACTATTAGCTCATAGGATGAGGAATAGCTGAGATGGGGGCTTAGGATTGTATAAATTTCAATACTTACTCTTAGAAACAAGTTCTTTTCTGTCTTCATAGTTCTGGGCTAAGAATTCTTCAGTAATGGCATCCTTCTTGACATCAGACACATTGACAAGTGGCTTTATGTGAGCATAAGTGGAAGGATCCTCTTCCCCAATGATGTTAATCTTTGGGTAGAAGTGCAAGAGCACATGCTCGATGGTTTTTTGAATAGTTAGATCGGCAATAGTAACTGGATTCTCAGGGTCTTTCATCTGAGTCTGGAGCTTCTGATTGTTTGAATGGACCTCGTCTAAGAGTCTGCAGCACTCCTCAGACAGATATAGCAAGATAGAGAATAGTTCACATGCTTTGACTTGATTTTCTTTAGCTTCGGTAGCCTATAATCGAAAAGTTAATATTCACGTCATTAGTGACAAAAGGTGAGAGAATGTATCCATTTTTGGAAAATATAGCTATGCTAGCCTCATTGATCCCAAGAAGCTACAATAGCATAGATATATCCTTCAAACGACATCTGAGACCTTGATCAGGTATCTCATCCATTCCACAAGTCCGAAAGAAACTTACGATATTTTGGATTTCCATGGTCTTAAAATTTTAAATTACTGATTTAAACTTACGTCTGATATTTCACTTATATATTTTATTTCCTTCGAATAACAATTTCAAATTGATCCAATCAATTTCAACTATAAAGAGTGCAAAGGGGTTTTGGGGTTTTGGGGTTTTGGGGTTTTGGGGTTTTGGGGG